TGCACAGACATACTTTGACGACATTTTCGTTCATAGTCGTGCGGAGCACGGGAGGACGAGTGAGGAGAACCACGTCGTCCAGTTAAGAGCCGTGCTCGAGTGCATGCGCACAAACAAACTGTACGCCAATGCAGCTAAGTGCATCTTTGGTGCAGAAGAGATTTCCTTTTTAGAGTGCTTCACTGAGAAGCGTGGCCATCTAGCGGATCCCGCTAAGGTCAAGGCCATTGTCGGTGACGACGGTAGCCGGCAAATGTATTCAGACTGACCGGTCCCAAAATACCAACAGGACTTGCGCAGAGTGCTTGACCTCGCCAATAACTTGCACAAGTGTAGCGCAAATTATCAGCGCGGCCATTGTCGAATCTCCTTGTGAAAGATACGGAATGGTGTTGGGACACCGGGCATCGGGAGGAATTTGGCAAAGTCATAGACAGCCTTCTGCATGCACCAATACTGGTGTTGACAGACCCCGATCGTCCTTTTAGTGTCATCTGCGACGCTTTGACCTTTGCCATCGGCTGTGCACTACTGCAAGTTGGCGTCGAGGGGCGAGATCGGGTGATCGCGTGCTAATCTCTATAGCTCAAGGCTGCAAAGAAATACTACTCAATCACGACAAGGAATTACTGTCAATTTCGGGATTCACCTGCTCAGCTCCAAGCCGTTCGTGATCTACACAGATCATGCGTCACTATGCACTGTGACTCAGTCGCCTCGCAGAGGATGGCCAGGTGACTCTTCTTCTTTGCACAATATAACTTCGAGGTAAAGTATAAGCCATCAAAGCAGAATGCTTCGGCTGATGCGCTGTTATGCAACCAAATTATGAGCGTGCTCATGTCACGACGGTGACGTCGTCCGTTGACAAATCTGATTCGCGCCGCATATGCGGGTGATTATTTGTGTGTAACGCTACCCGGGAGCAAGGAGTATGGAAGCTCGGACAAAAACTTGTCTTCGCGACTGCATACACTGTTGCACCAATATTCATTGAGTAATGGAGTGCCGTATTGTAGCACCGACTCGACAGATATACCACGAATTGTGGTTTCTCCCGACGAGGATTTGAAGTACCTTATCCTCTATGAGGCTTACGACACCCCACTTAGTGGTCATCTCGATCGTATACAGACTTTCAGCTGCGTGAGTTACCACAACCGGTGATCCAAGCTGTACAGATGGACGAGCACCTAATTGCGCACGTGTGAGGGTGAAATTCTCTCCGAATGCGGCGACGCCGCTAGACAGTGTACCGGTACCTTGCGGGTGGTGGCAGTCCATGGGTTCGGACTTTATGTTTGGCCTGCCGAAGAATCGGCGGGCGACACGGGTGGGTGGTCTTCTTCGACCGTCTAAGCACGATGGCTCATCTCGCGGTGGTGCTCGACACCATCGACGGTGTCGGTACAGCGACGCTGTTTGTCGATCGTGTCTTATTAAAGCATGGACTCTTGGAGTCAGTTGCCTCTGACAGAGACCCACGCTTCACTGGACGTTTTAGTCGCAATCTTCTAGGTACTGGAAATCAAGCTTGATATGTCAACAGCGGACCATCCGCAGACTGATGGACATACTGAGGGCGTGATTCGCTTCGTCGAGGACGTCCTTCGCAGTGTCGACGCTAAGACTCCGAGACGCTGGAGCGCTATGCAGTGCAACCGTCTACTGGCTACACGCCGCTCTACGTGATCGGTGATTCACCCTTGCTTCTCGTTGACGCAACCATCACATAGTTCGGGGTTAGGTGGAAGAGGGATAGCCGAGAGGCTAGCTGATGTCAGCCCTCTCCCTGATCGTAATGAAGACGATAACTTCCTGTCTACCAAACTTAGTGTCTTACGATACGTTCGCGTTAATGTGAAAAACTTTCATACCCATGCAGTTTTTTGCTGACGTTAAAACACAGCTCCGCCCACGGTTTATCGGACTTGTGTAGGTCGTGGCCAAGCGCGGTCTTGCGTATACGTTAAATCTTCAAAACGGATGCGCACCCACCCAGTGTTCTATGTGGGCTTGCTAGAGCCGTACCAATATCCGGCACAAGTAAACGCGGAAGCGTTGGCGCTGGAACGGCGTCCACAGACGATCGACCACCCAGAAGCTGTACCAGCATCTGGTTTCGAGCACGGAGTGCACCGATCTTTATCCCCAACGGCACTTAGCCCTCCAACTTCGCATGAAGTGACGATTCCGTCTGCTGAACGGCTTGGAGCCGCTTCGACAGAGCACTATAGTTATCAACGTGAGGTATCCGATGCGCAACGAGCTTTAAGCTCCTTAGATCTTTTGCTTAGAGGTATGTGACACCAGCATGACGCTCAGCAAAAATCCGATAGCGACGGACCTCGTCCTTAAGATCTCGAAGAGTATCAGACGGCGATCGACCCAGAAGGGATCATGACGTTCCGTGTCGTCGTACGCTCCACACTTCTCGGTAATAGCCAGGGAAGCCGAAGAGCCATAAGCTGAGCGCAAGCGACGGCCCTGAGCTGCTGTGGTCGCAGACTTACCTGTGTGAGAGACTGCAGAGCTCCCGGGAGCGTAATGGATCAACCCATAAGTCGCTGGCGACAGTTTGAAGGAAGTCGGCGACGCGCCTTGACTTTGACATACTCAGACCGAAGATGGCGTTTCACGCGCGCGACCACTTCCTTTTGGCTCTATTATAAGTTATACAGCGAGAAAAGTTTCCGAAGCCGCTGCATCCATCGCTCAAAGAGTTCTTCGACATCTGCAGCGGCATCACCAGGGGCGAGCACCACAGAAACTGTCCGCATTGCGGGTATAGAAGCGCTTCCTCTTTGAGCACGAAGTCGAGCGCGGTACGTATCTACCGGGAACTCTCGTAGAACCAAGAAGCGAGCTCGAAGAGCCTTTCGTTCACCAGTGACCTCGTCGAAGCACCGAAGCATCTGGATGCTGTCAGCAGGGCGACTCGCATCCACTGTCGGTCCTTGACCCTCTCGCGGAATAAGGCTTCCAATCGACTTTCCTCGGAAGTCGAGAATTCAGGAAAGACGCAACGTCCGCATGGTTCGAGAAGAAATGACGTTACGCCGCTGGGGTACGTCGCCCCTCTTCTTCTTCTCATCCTGAGAAAGAAGTTTTCGACTCGTAGTCGACTTCATCCAAAACCTCGACGATGTGTAGCGGGCGCGGCGCGGCCAGGAGTAGATATCGCGTCTGCGTTGTTGGTTGTGCGATCTGTCACTAACTATGCGCTGCGCGGTACTCTGTCACCAAGAGCGTGGGTTGAGAATCCCTTGCAGCCGCGAGACGAAGAAGAACTTTGCCCGCAAACCAGCGAGGCTGGGTGTCTTCCGTGCGATCCTAGTGTTTCCACTCAAAGTTTTCACCACTCTCGTAGGAACATTGCAGACCTTATCAGCAGCTGATCAAATTCATCAACTAAATCGAGAGCGCTGGAAAAATGAAGATGGTAGTCATATCGCAGCGGGGTTGCCGTAGCTCTTCTGTTTCTGATTAAGGTCGGTGACATTCGTTCTATACTTGGATATAGTTAGAGTGTAGCGGGCAGCAATCCACTTACACCAAGAGTAACTACTACCTTACCAAGAGGCTAATTAACTCGTCCGTTGAAACATAAACTGTATTTGTTAAATTTATTTGCGACAAAGCCGTCGATATCTAAAGCTATAGGTTATCTTAACTTGATAGTATACCTAATTAAATGTATAACTATTGGCTGTTTCATCTGACTTCATACTGAATCGTAGCTACACCATTGTGTGACCCACACCCTTCCTACCAGGATACGTGAGACCCCGTTACACTCTTCCCATCAAGATTGTGAACAACTACAGTTCACATTCAACTGTCGCCTCAAACGAGGCTCGCGTGTCTCAGACACGAATTCTTTGTCCAATGAAACCTGTGTTCAGAAAGAGTTCAAGGCACAAGAATTGTCCAATGAACTAGCAAAGCCCACCCGTCCGGTGGTGCAGATTTCAAGACTGCATCATGGCTTTGTAGACCAATTTTGACTGCGCATTTGTCGATACTCGTGCGGATCACTGAAAGATAAATGTGGGGAGCAATAACAGACACTGCGAGCCCAACCCATAACCGTATATATTGGCAATTAGCTTCAATTGTCTATGCTCGTGAAGCTATTCGCTCGATTTTACACTTTGTGCCTAATATATTCCATCTCTGGGTTGCCGCATTGAAAAGCAAACCTACGAGTTGTCCAAGGTCATTTTATATTAATTGGCACCGATGATGTAAAGACTTGAAGATGCGACTTCGTCTGGCGGACTACTATCGCAAGCATAGTGCAGAATACGTCGAGTTGGCACGACCCATCATCAAGCCCCGAAAATGGATGTGCCGGGGTGCGGCAGAAGCGGCGAACTTTGAGGCTGCATATAATTGTCTTGTTTGCACTCTCATTCGAGCTTTTCCAAATTATAGTTGGCCACGCTATGGTGTGGTTTGCGCTCCAGCTTGGAAAAAAGCTGCGCTTTTCTTCAAGAAGATGTCAATGAGCATGAGCATGAAGAAGCGTTCAAGTCTAGCCAGCTCAAAGCTTTAACAATAATTTGTTCATGACAAGTTGCTAGATTGTGCTCTCGTCAGGATCAAAAGAAACCTTTGTGGCTTAGCACAGCGACGTTACCACCAAACCTCTCACAAAGAATGGTAAGATGACGATTCTTCCCTAGCGGATGTACCAGTGACGGCTCAACTTGTTGTGATAGCAGATGCGTTTTCGCGTCGTCTGAAAATGGATTTGAAAAGTGAAATTGGCGACGCCGCAAGTCGATGGGCGGAACGTACAGCATACGGGTCGAACGCGAAATTGTCGCGTTGCTAAAGTCTTTAGTTAGCATAAATCTTGGGGCACATGTCGATTTATAAACGCTTGCGATTGCACGCCTCCTCCGCTATGTCTTACCCAAAGGTTTGCTGAATTACAGCACTGATTCAAATTCCCTTCAGCATGTTGTGATTCACATGATGATGAATTTAAGTACTGTATGATGGACATGATACTCATTTCGAAAAAATAAGAAAAGACTGACAAACTGATAGCTCTGTGTGCTGGTGGCCCAAAAAATGTTGGTGAATAAGGATGTATACGCGCACGCGTGAACCGTGTCAGTATAGAAGACCCTAGCCGCATGTGGCAGCAGTTTAGCCGGCCTGTCGGTGTTGCTATTTAGCTTGTATGAACTTTGGTTTGATTTCTGGAAGACGCGTCCGGTAAAATCGTGGTTGTACATTCTGATAAAACTACTTGAACAAGATGACTTATTATATTTTGCTGCAGTCTGTGATAGCTTCACCGATGTAGACACAACCAAGCTGTTTTGCGATAAACGGTTCCGGCATCTTCGCTTCCCGGCAGCCGTTGTAAATTTCTAAGATCCGCTCCATACAGTACAGTTTGACTAACTTTGTTGAGATCATGACGCTAAACCCTAGGGCACCAGATTGAACATGTCATCTGCGGACCATTCGCCCGCCGATTGTCCGACGAAAATAATTAATTGCATTGCGGAGATTAAATTTGAAGCGTTTGTCAGGAAAGACCGCGAAGCTGGAGCGGGTCCATTATACTCATTGAGCTTGCGCGACATACCGCAGTACACATCACAAAAGCAATAGACTTCACCCGAGACACACGAATGGCGTGATAGTCTCCCGGACAATTTCGACAGTACTTTAAGCGGCTCTGACGCTAGCAGTAAGAGACCGTCAATAAATTTTGATTGCTATAATCATTGCGGCTACATTTTGTAGCATAAACAGAAATTCCAGCTCAATAAATCGCGTAGGATGTGCAGCGCTATGGCTGGGAGCCAGAATGTACAACGGCATCACGTCGACGCAAGGAGCAGGCGAAATATGTAGAATGTGTTGCGGGAAAAAGTTTTTATCGAATGTAATTGAACGACATAAACATGGTTTGTATTACTAAGTTGCCATCGCGCTATATTGTGTGATACCTTCAACGTCTTAAGAAGTACCCAATAACACCCTGCGTTCTACGTCATTTTATCAAACCTGAACATTATTCGTCAGTCAAATATACAGAGCTATTACCGAAGCAGATTATCTACCATCTTTCAAAACTAAGCTGTTCTCTGCTGCAAAGTTGCACAAGGAGCCCGGTCTGCCGGGAGTGGCACAAGCCAAGCTGATCAATGGTAAATTTTGAAAGAGTAAATCTGTTATTGACTCATATCAGGTGATAACAAAGGGTTGATGGGATATCACAAGCATAAGAATTTGTGAATTTTGGCAATGATAATATCCCCTTCAGCGGTACTGCCGTATGTACTACGAATGCAATCTATACGCCTGGTTTGGCGATGTATACACCCGGATCGCATGTCGCGTCACAGTCCCTTTGTATGAAACGATTCGTCCACAGCGGCAACAAATCTTAGTTCCCATTTTCGCATGCGGCAATTCGAATTGAAGACCAGGAGCGCTACGCGACTCTGTAGTCTTTGGATCATGACTTAATACATGACCATCATGACTTCTCATATTCAGAGGGATAAATTTTCTTCGTCTAGGTTACAAACACCAAACGTTTGGCATCAGCAGCCTCGCGGTATGTACTATATCTTCTTCTCCCGATGCTTCATTGTGCGCCCCGGGGTGTGTTAACCAGCGCATTCTCATCGATGGCGAACGCCCCTAGAGGAGTGACTACTGCATCTGGCCCTTTGGCCGCCCTTTCCTGACTTGGTCTAGCCAACTGAGGGCATCTACTTTATACTTGTTATTTGCTAGATCAGCTACTTTACAAGTGTAATCTAGTTAAGTGTCATTATGATTATTAAACTATGTAACAAAATGTCAAAAGTACTTGACGCGTATCCAGCAGCCCATTTCAACAACGCACACTTCCTTTTTGGAGTTCCATCATTTTCATACATACCAATATTTTGGCTCTAATGAATATCTTAGATCGCACAAAAGTGCAATGTGACATTCGCACATTTGTACAGTATTGTTTTGTACCAAACTTGTTTGCTTATCACAAGTACGCGGCGTATGTGAAGGCATTGTGTGGTTTACATGTTGCCAGAATTAATGATTTGCTGTGTTGCCTCGAATTGCGGTGTCTAGCTAACTCCATCATACGTTAGCACGTAGTCAATTCTATCAAAGCGGTAAATGGATATCTCAGTTGTTGCCAGTATGATGATGGTTTGCCTTCATCAACCAAGATGAGAGGCACTGCAAGGCCGCTTGTTTACACGTCATTCCAATCTTTGCTTGTCAAAAGTACACGGCGTATGTAAAGGCAGTGTGTTGAACACTTTTTGCCGAAAGTAATGATTTGCCGTATTGCTTCGAAACGCGGTGTCTAGCTAGATCTATCATACGTTAGCACGCAGTCAGCACTATTCAAACTGTTAATGTGTCTCTCAGTTGTTGCCCGTGTGATGTTAGTTTGCCTTAATCTACCACTGTAAGAGTGCACTGCTAGACTGCTTGATTTCACGTCATTCCGATCTTTGCCTGTCACAAGTACGTGGCGTATGTTAGGGCATTGGGTGTTGCCAGAAGTAATGATTTACTGTAGCCAGTAAATCACAGATCCAAGTCTTGTTCGCTGCCCACCCCAGTGGTAATGAAGCGCGGCCTGAGAAAGGCTTGAAGAAGAAGAAAAATTGTTGAATTTGATAGCCAGGAGAAGGGTAGACTCGAAGTAATGGTACTCGTAGTAGAACTAAGAGCTAAAAGTTCAAGTGAAGGAGAAAAGCAAATGGTGCAATTGATTATCGTTGAGCACTCACCGTTAAGCAATTTATGTGAGTGTCCTACATCTTGATGAAAGAGAGTTTAACGTGGTATGTACGTGTTGTGGCGATTAGTTCATACTGCGTGTGCCTGTAACAGAGTAGATGTGGATGGATGCAAGAATAACAGAAAATTTACTTCTGACTGTCTCTTCCGAGCGGGCCATGATTTAACAAAATCACGTGAGCCACAAAACCCTGTTTGCATCTTCTTCAAGAAGTTAACCGTATAATCGATTCCTTTTCCTAACCGATCCGATATAGCATGCTTGTAGCTAAGTCTTATAAGCTGCAGACACTGCATGTTAGGTATGGAAACATCAAAGCTCCCAACAATAGCGTCGCGTTCTCGGCTCATGACGCTCAATCGCATCGAAAAAATATCAGTAATTTGCTACAAATTTTAGTCGAGCTGATATAAGCGAGTCGTCAGTCTCACCCTGACCTTGACTGGAACCTCTTCATGGCGGATTCGGAGAAACTTAAAGACTTTTCATTCAGAGAATCTGGTAAAGCTTGCAAAGGCGTTTACTGCATTTTAAATGCGCACTCTCTCCAGTACCATGATCCACCCGCGCATATACTCGGAGGACATTTTTTGTTTATAAATCCGTCATCTTCGTTTTGGATGTACAACATTCTAAAAAAGCGTATTGTTCTTTCAATTCCTCGACCCCTACAAGGATCAATGTCCAGTAGGCCACCCTGTGCCTTTTTGGACCCGACAGTTTCCGCGAGATGTCTGAAGGATAGCTCTTTGTGAAAGCTCGACTTTTGGATCTCCCAGCTGAATGGAAGGTAGAGACGCAGGGCTTGTATATCTGAAGCATCTCCAGCTGTACCACCTGCGGGTATCGCGACGATGATCAACAGCATCTAGCGCACTCAAAAAAGGATATGCTGACCAATTCTTGCGAATAAAAAGATGCGCTCTAAATTCAATGCAGCTTTCGCTGTTTATGATCTGATTTTTACTATTTCATTGAAAGAGTTTGGGTGTACACAGAAGGTCACGTAGTTTATCCAACATCAATATTACAGCCGTTGTCGAATCTGGAAATGGGCCAGCTGGTATCCTGGCTATAGAGCAATAGACCGATTTAACCATTTTTTTCAGAGAGTGTGAAGGTTTGCGACATCAAGAACATTTATTTTTCGTTGATTTTCGCCCACAAATTCTCGCAAACGACTATCAAGATGTGCTGTCGCGTCGAATTTAGTCTATAGCATCCTCAGGTTTCGTCTCCAAGAGATGTTCGTTATGTCGTTGTCGAAGAATGGATTATTGACCATCTGAAGCGGTGTCCCTTTATTGAGCTCTGTAAGAGAATGTGATGCTTCCACCAACGCTTGATTAAAACTTTTTGGAGATGTGTTACAATTGCATTTTTGTAGCTAGTGAATGCCTTCAGGCGAACAGTGACCACTTCTGGTCCTTGGGCCGCCAGAAGTGTTTTCTGCGTATTTCTTCTCCGAAGATGTTCTCAGTTAGTTGCAAGCATTTCATATTACGGGGAAAATGTACAAAAGGTTAAAATCAAGTTTATCAAAATAAGTTTTGACACATGAGGTTTCTTCATCGCTTTAAAGGACAAAACGAAGAGTCGAAACTACTTAGTATTGAAAATGATCACGTTTGTAAAAAGGCTTCGCCCATTCAGCTGCGATGAGATGTAAAACACCTGGAGTAGAAAATGCCAGACCAGCATTTTGATCAGGCATTTCGTGTTGCTGCGTATCGACGGCGTTTGACTAGTGAAGCGCGTTGTTTGAAAAAAGCGGAACACGTATATCTCGTGTAAGCTTGTCATAGAAGCCCAATATTGTTTGCACATCTTTCGCTTGTATTTTAGCTTCTTGAAGGATTTCACCCACTTGCTCTGGAGTGTAGGGTCGATTGACCCAATCAGTCAGTAAATACTTCCACTCGCTAATTGGTATTGCAGAACTAAGACGGAGTCGATACGGGTCCTTTGATACTTTGTATGCAATGTTGGCAGCACGGATGTCTAGTTTGGCACGCAATCCAGGAGAAAGTAATGCGCTTTTGGAGAATTTGGTCAAAATACTCAACATGTCATTTATAGGCACTTCAGTTATGACTGCGTCGTATTGCTTCAGAAGGTTCGATACCACCGAAGCAGGGAGCTTTGCTTTTTGTAGTATTACTTCCACATCCTTACGATTAAACCCAAATTGAATCAATGTCCGTAAGTGAAGTTTCCAATTAGCCACATCTGTTTCTGACAGGCATGCGTGACTGCATGATTTGCGTGATATGGTGTTGAGTGCCACGCACCGTAAAAAAAACCATTTATATATTGCTTACAGCGGGTGTGCACACTCGAAAACGTTTTACACGTTCCTGGACATCAGCGCAATCTTGCAAGTCTGAGCAAGGTTGGGGCTATAGGGCTAGTCACAGGAAAGATGTGTGGTTTCAAGCGGCCGCGCCAAAATAGGCGCATCAGTGGTCTTTACATATTATTGTCATCTGATATGGATAACTTTGCTTAGGCCAATTCCACGTCTGGGTATGAGAAAATGGTTAAGCGATCTGGCAGACCAGGCTGGGACGCCTCAGTGCTCAAGACATTAGAACAGTGCTGAAGGCCGGCAAAGTTACAACGCGTAGTTCAAATTTAAGCCTTTATAAGTCTGCACAGCTGGAAATTAGCTAATCTCCCTTTTTCATGGGAGAAGCCACGCTACTTGAAGCGAGGACAAGTGATGTTTCCGATTGACTGTGTGGGGCGAATGGAAACAATCTTGCGTGACGGGTTTACTGGACTGGTTAGCATTATGGTCAAACCGTACCATCTAGCGGCGGTATTTCCTGTTACGAACAAGAGCCCCGCCACGCTTCATGAGTTGAATAACATATCAATTGGTTCTGTATTGGGGCCCTAATTGCGCAGGAATTTATAACCTCGTCGACGCAGCAATTTGACAAGGTTGAACGAAACAACCACGTTGTTGTCGAATTGGTGCGCGCCATGCTACATGCAGCTGGTTTGGGAAAATGCTTTTGGAGTGATGACGTTCTGCCTACAGTGTACTTACAAAACCGCTGTCCATTGAGGAGGTCCTTCGCTCGAGCAACTGACACGTCGCACCTCTAGCGCTTAACAGGCTGCGCGTTTCATCTGCAACGCGAGGTGTTGGTAACGAAGTCTCAACGGCAGTAGCTCGACGCAAAGTCTGCAAAAGGAAATTACTTTGGGATTGAGACAACAGTTGTTCCCAATTTTTTGGAAGCCCTCTGGTCATAAAGGCAGTAGGAGAGTAGACTTGTCAAGTATATCGAAGACAAGAATGATAACGCTCAAAGGTGAGCTGCTCAAGCAGCAACAAACTAAATCAGCACAAGGTATGTCACCAGTCACATTGTTGATATTCTAGAACAATGTTGATAAAGCATTGACCTTCTGACAATGAGATAGGCAGCCGGCATTCAGTCCACCGCTGCGTTGAAAAGCAGATCATTCGTCGCAGCAAACGTATCAGGAAGAAAAACGAGATTCTGAGGAATCTTACAACGCTCACGAAATTGCGCTGATCAATGAATTGCAAGATCCGTTCCAAGTGCAGGGAGCGCTGGCTTGGCCAGCTCGCATATCAGGGGCTTTAATGTCGAGCTGGGTAGGTTGTGGCATTACCACATGTACTTGGAAATGCTCAACCGATAGACGTATGCGCAGATGGATCGCTCGACAAGTATAAGGCAAGACTGGTAGCAAAAGAATTTACGCAACAGTATGGATTGGACTGCAACAAGATCTTTAGCTCTATCGTTTGCTGTGATTTAATTCGAATCATTCTCGTGCCTGCCGTCGAAGTAGAACGGAAGCACCTTTCGGACAAAAATGTCTTATCAGTAAGGGTGGGAACAGGGTATAAAGGATGCGAAGGCTGTGTATGGCCTGCTGCAGGCGTCTTGGGCTTGGTACGGAAACTAAACAAAGTTTCTGTACGAGGCAAGCTTTACTCAGTGTCAATCGGAGACTTGTGTCCAGGTAACGCGCACAGATGGCAGCATTGTGGTTTTATTCATTGTAGACGACGTGCTGATCTTTAGCGATCTGAAGTCTGAGCTAACTGCGTTCTGAGCATGAGATTTTATCAATTTGCGATAAATAAATGCGACCTTGCGGTCACGAGCGTGGGTATGGAGTTCACGTGGAGCAATTGCGACGATATGCTGGTCATCGCGCAGCAGAAGTATGTGGCCTCAGTGATGAAGCGATTTGGCAGCCGCGGTGCCAGAATGCAGCCTCGCACCCCGATATATAGCAATTACCAAATTGCTGATGGTAAAGAAAGTATCAATGATACAGCAGGTCGCTACTTTATGCGTCGACAGAAAGCTTTTCTGACTTTGCTACAGCAATTCGATTTGCTGATCACGAAACAAAACATCGCGCACCGTGAAGGCCGCGACTGACCGTGTAGTTGGGCATTTAGAGCGGACTAAAGATAAACAAGAAAGGGCTGCAGCTTTGTGATGCTAGATTCGAATGTGAGAAAAATGCAAGTGATATTCAATCTTCGCCGTATTCTTTGGGAGTTGCTGCATCTCGTGGAGATCCAAGGAGCAGCCGATCGTAACTCTACCGACTACTGGATTGGTGTTTGTTGCGCTAGCTTACAGAACCAAAGAGCATATCGGTCTCAAGACATTGCTTCTCGAGTTGGAGCTTGATACGAAGACATCCCGGCAGCTCAACACGTCACCGGAGGTAAAGGCGTATCGCAACGCTCGCGATACATCTATATCCGCTATAACTAGATTCGTGAGCAAGTGCTGCCCGGAATGGTCAAAACTTGTTACTGTGCGACGGCTGGGACTTGTTTACTAAGCCACAGAAGATTCCGAATTATCTCTAAAGACAATTCAGTTATATCGATAGTATGATACCACGTATCTTTACCGAAGACTTGATTAAGATGCGTGAGACGCGTCATTATACTAGTATCTGTCTCAAAGATTAATAAACACCTTCTTGAGCGTGGAAAAGTGGAGAGTTATGTGTCGGAGTCTTCTGTGGAAACAGACATTTGGAAATATGTGAAGATCATAGTGGTCAAAGTCAGTGGTAAGTGTGGAGTTTATCCACTCTGTCGTAATGATGTGCGGGAAAAATGCTGCACAAGTCCTCAGAGCTGGTTTACTCAAATGTACAGCATCCTTCGGGGTGTCGGCGCACGTCTTGATGTTGTCTTGGCAGCATTGGGACAAGAATTGCGAACTTGTAAGTGGGGATCCATTTACATTAGCCAGTTTACATGGCCCCATAATGCAGCGGATTATTTTCTTCAGCGGAATGAAGTTATCCTTTGGCATCAAACGGACTTGTTCGTTATGACGACGATTGTATTTGCAGAGATATAGGGCTTGTGTTTGAACGGGGAAGTCGATACAGACATACTTGACTTGAAAGCGTAAAGATTGATCGAAAGATGGTGAATTGATACCTCGTGATAGACATGAACCCCAAATAAAAGCAAAGTCTTCACAACCGCGTGGAGAAAAAAGAACGATCACGAAAGTGGTTACCCAAATTAAATGAAGGCGTCACAACTGCAAGGGGAAAAATGAATGATCACAAAAGTGGTTACCCCAGAGTAAAATTAAGGCTCTACAACTGCAAGGAGAAAAATGAATGATCGGTTACCCCAAAGTAATATTAAGGCTTCACTACCGCGTGGAGATTAAGCGAATCATTAAAAAAGCAATTAATCCACAAGTCTTCGTGGTCTTGCCACTTAAGAATTAAGTGTTTCGTCAGCAACTTAAGAATGAGGACTTGAAATGTCTCAAAGGCGTGGCGAGCCGTAATGGCGGTCATTCCATTTAATAAACTCCACAATCGCGTGAAGTACGACCCAATGAGTTTTGCGAATTTAATCATTAAAATGAAAAAGCAAAGGCAAAGTCGGAAATTGGCTTAAAAATCACTTAAGCTGAAAGAAACTCAACCACAGTGACCAATTGGACCAAAGCCAAAAGTCATTCACAGGGTCTTCGATAAAGTGACAAATTTATACATGCTTAAAAAACTAAGCTGAAACTTGTACCGATGTGAGTTCAAAGTGCGTGAATGTGTTAAAGCCTTCAAGATATGTTGTAAATGTGAGCGTATCATTGGTGAAATAAAACCACAAAGACAGACAAGGCGTGGCGTATATTGCCTTATTACGATTAATCCATAATGTTCGAAAGATGCAACCCCGGATATTGTTAAGCAGTTGAAGTGGTAAATGAATACCAAAGTCATGTTGGCGGTAAGTGGGAACGGTGTGGGCAATGAATAACAAGACGTGTTCCCATAAAGTAGTAGTATTAAAATTTCATTGAAAAACTGGGAGATATACGCCACATAGTATAATCCCATAGTAAATGATTTGGAGTTTCTGGTGTAGAACAACCATGAACACAGTTAATATCTTGAGTGTGCCAGCTAAATCTGCATCGAAAACCCAAGCCATCATGTTGCAGTCGGAAAACAAACTCAGAGAAGACGGGAAGAATACCACGTTGAAGCTTGCCGAGTGTAGACCAGTGATTAATAGGTGGAGATATCTTATTACGTTGTAAAGACAGCAACGGTAACTGCAGTGGTTAAATTGACTCTAGAAGACGGCGAAGTAAACTATTAGTGGCGTCAATAATGCCTTGGCCATCAAATGTCCATATATGAAGTGCAGCAAGAATTTCTTGAGGGGGCACGTGTAGATGATGAATTTGCCATAGAACTAATTCTTGGGGAAAGCGTCTGAACTAATTTTGTTAGTATTGATACTCGAGTCTGATTGTGTTTTACGTAGCGTGAAAGAGTCAGGGATAGAACCAAAACACACGCAAAATGTATAAACTCGATAGATACCTTGAGTAGATAAGTATCAACATGCTTTTCGATGTAACACAGGCAAAGTCTTTCGTTCAGAAGTAAATCGAACAAAGATCCATAGTGGCCAATTCGGCTATGTGAATACCGGGTTAGTGATCAAAAGTTTGGACAAAAGTTTAGTGCTCCATGTTCAAAGCGCTCGTTGCCAATAGAGAGGGACGTTTCTTCTTCGGGTAGTAGTCGTAGTTGACTGTAGGGGCATGTAGAGGAAGTCTAACCCTCGCCTTGACCTTGAAGTCCACTATAGAAAGCCGTTTGAGCTGAAGTAATCACCTGGGGGGTCCAATTTTATTGGCTCTGCAGTGTCGAATAAGTTGACGTATTCAGTTGACCTGAAGGAGTTCAGCTGTATCCGCAACAGTATGAAGAATTTGACCCCCACCCAACATCTAATGGAACTGAATGCCATTTGCTGGGGAATTGGCTTCGAACTGTCGGACCATGTTATGACGGTGATGGGGTGTTGTCAACAAAATTCCTCATCCAGAGGATCAAAAGGTTATAATATTTTTTTGGACACCGCTTGAACACTCGCAAAATGCCACAAAATTGATTGTATCATTGTCTTCAGTAGTAACCAGCGGCCTTGTAGCGCATAGTCTCACCAACGCCAGGCAACGCAAAGTCGCTGAAAATGAAGCAGTTCGTTAACTGTATGCTGGGTTGGCACTGAGGCACCACAACTATACCTAAAAAGTATTATGCTTTTCCTTGGTATTTTCACGGGTTCCAAAGTCACGTAAGCTGTTGAGTACAGAGTACTCAGAAGGTTTCCAGGGTCGAAAAAGAATTATAGCGGCTCTGTCCATTTTTTAATTGCATACTTGTTGCAGTGCAAAACTCTTGAACACGGGCAAGAGACGCAGAGACTTGTCTTAAATCGTAAATCAATCCTGTAATGTCGTCTGCAAAGCAGAGAGTGTGATGATAAGATCCACGAATCTTTGTGGAAAATGATTGATTGTCCACTCGAAGATAGCACAATAAAGGCTGAAAAAATAAAACAAAGAGCCCTGGCGAAAGTGGGGTTCCTTGACGAACTCCTGCCCCCAAGCAAGAAAACTGTGAACGTGAGTTATTAATTAAGACTGTACTAAGGTTCAGTAAAAATGTTGAAACCCACCGACGGAGAGCTTCACCGAATCTGCAGTGTTGAAGAACACTATCCAGCACCTACTGTCAAAGCCTTCGTAAAGTCGAGGCGAATGACACCGGCGGAAGCTCGTGTTTCACAGGTCGTGGTATAATGCTGAAGATTCAATAATACCCTGATACGTAGCGGATATCACGACCCAAATTGGTCATCTCCTAGAAGCTCAGGTAGAACTTGGTTGAGTCTGTAATCCAGAGGTTTTGGCCCAAACTTGGCATCGTTGTTTAATAGCGTGAGAAGCAGTAGTTCCTTGGGTCTGAGCGACTACCTTTCTTGTGGAGAGGAGAAAGATAGGCACGACGTTGAAACTTTGTCATACGACCAAGCCGAAATTGGGAAGCATAAACCAGTTCCAAAGCTTGCGCCCAATCGGAAGGAAAAAGCTGGTGAAACTGAGCCGGTAAGTCATCGGTACCTGGGCGCTTCCCACGTACTGTGCGCTTGATTGCATTGTAAATATCATTAGCTGGAAGTGATGCATCTAATGCTGAAGCTTTTAGAGAGGTCAGCTTCCGGTTTCTGCGATTCAAAATGGACTGCAATTCGTCAATGTCAAAATTCTCAGAGATAACATTGAGCTCCCTTAAAATGGACTGGATAAGTGTACCTAAATATTCCCGATGAGCTGACATTATGATCTGTTAGTCCCTTCAAATTCCTGTTGGTGTGTCGACCGAGGAAATATAGAGCTTAAGTTCTGCCGTTGGACCCCAAAAGAAATTTTTGGAAGATGTTTTAGCTGTATTAGCATCCGAGTTAAATTTTGAGACTCAGTTGCGCTCTTGAATTGGTATCAAAGTCGATAACAGCTTGGCGAGCTATTTGACAGTGTAATTTGTCGGCGTCGTTAGGGTCGAGCGCCAATTGTCGTTCTGCGTCTCGAAAAACAAGCAGAAGTAGGCGAAGTTGAGCAGTCGTTGCGTGTTTCATTTTTAAAACTCCTTGCTTAAGAAAATGCGGTCTTGGCGCATGTGTTCATCAAGAAGACACCCTGGGTTCCGGTTGGGATCCATAGTTATTGATAATCGCTTTAAGTTGACTCCCAGTTGATCCTCACACTGTAACAGCCTGGGTGGACAGCATTGACGATGTAAGGTCTAAACATCTGTAAATTCAACAGGGACGTGATCGCCGGGCCCGAGTATTAAGCCAAAAGCGTGACTTGTAGAGCAAATAAATTTATCATAGAAATTCACACTTGCTAGGCAATAGTCAATTCTGTTCTTTAGCTTCGGACCTGTAAATTCCATTATAGGGTTTTTCGAAACGCCAAAAAATAATAAACCCGAAGTATTTATTCAGTAATAAAGTTCAGGTCTTCCACTGTCGTGATTAACTAGACTCGGCTTGGCTTGGTCTAGTTTTAAGTCCATGTAATATTAAAGTGACCTAAGACCATGTGATAAGCTAAGACGTCAAAATCGCGTGGTAAAGCGTTAAAACTTGGAGCGGTTGCTTAATAAAGCTGGACCATATACCAGGTGAAAATAAATGTTCGTTGCACCGAGTTATGCCGCCACGACCAAGTACCTATCATTAAGGATGGGGTAAGTGGCGTGCCGTTGCGTGATGTCTTGAAGATTGCGAAAAGGGTGTGCTCCGCTGGAAGCTTAGGCGACCCCGTTGCGACTTTGATATGCATTTCTATGTTTATTTAACCAGACAACACAAGCGTTGTAGTCAGCCGCGCGAAGAATGTAGTTTTAAGTAGTCTATGAACCAGGGCTTAGATATCAAGAAGGTTAAAACAAACTTGTTTTGCATCAGTTCTTTAGCAAACGTGCTAAAACCGAGCAACCACAGTGTACGGTCCGATAAGAGGGGAATAGTTAAAAATACGTGGGATTCATGTCAGTTAATACCATTATCTTGACTGGGTCATGGTACACCATTGGGGCCATGATATGTTCTGAGCAGATAAAGCCAATAAGACCTCGACTGTATTCGACAGTACTGGGTTTCCATGTCCAAGTAGACGGTGGAGCATTTTGTCAGCAGGCCCAGTAGCGTGGATAAGCTGTAGGCATTTTTGGTACTTCAAATTTGTCATGAGCAAAATTGGTAGTAAGGCCAATAAGCGACGCACTGCTCTGTTAAGAGCAAGGATGTCAACTTTCGCTTCAGTTGCTTAAGCGCCCAGCATATGTCCTGGGTTAGCCTCGATAGTTGCTAATTGGCCCAGAGGGGTCGACTTTTTTTTGTTGAGAAAAGAGTCCACAAAGTTAAAAAGTTCACCCCAAGTCATAGACTCAGCTACATAGTCAATGGAATATGGGAATATGGGGTAATTATGGCAGTGTAGGTCGAGTCACCTTCGTATGATGGGGTGCTCATCATTGTCTTTAAAATGACAAATTTCAATATCGAAATACCATTGCGGTGTTTAAGAGTCTAAATCATCAAGCCGCAATGGACTATAACAATTGGGCCTTACAACCTTTTTGGCTTGAGTCGAGCATTTCAAGTCCTTAATCTCGTATTCTATGGAAAAATGACCACAGAGGTCAGGTTGTTAATAGCGGATAAGGCTCGACGATTTTCAGCCGCTTTCGCCCATACTGGGGCGAAGGTTGATGAAACTGGTACAATAATTGTTTCATTCATTAGGTCAGAATTAGTCCTAAGACTTGTTGGGAGTCATCATCACTATCGTCATTTATTGGAGGGCCGTCCGATGTTGACATTTTCGTTATCATTATCAGGCGGCATTTAACCGTATGGGAAGTCCATCCTTACTACTAAAAACGCCCACGACATTATTTGGCTCCACGGTCATTGCAGGATAATTTTTTTGGATAGTAGTCGAAGAGCAGCCATCAACATTGAGCTCATAAGCTTTTAGAAAACAAACTAATCTCAATCTTAACGTGTTCCGTCGATGTTGAAAAATGAGAAGTGAGGAACAGGGTCTTAGGAAAGCTGTAGCCAAGGTCTTCGTCACAATTGACACGATTCCATGGGCTGTCACGGATACCTGAAGTCTAAATAGACCAGCACTTTGCTACGACAACTCGCTTTGCCTAATTTCTACTTGAATCTTACACATTGAGTCTTAACATGTAGAATTTAACGTGGTTGTTAGGGGAATACTACCGTCGATATTTTTTTTGAGAGCTACTAAGGCATGGGGAGATGTTAATCGTCTATTAATTGATGTCGTCAATGATAGCAGTCGTCTGACTTCCTACGTTCTTAAAACAGCCTGATATGCTGTCAAAATTTGTACGATTTCAATATTGCTAATGAGGCTTATGGCTGCTCTTATAATGGCGTGCAACGATATAAAGGAGTACTGTCTCGTATTTTTCGACCTTGTAGTTCGTAACGCGGGCCTAATCGTTTCTTTATCTGAATTCCACGAGTCCATGTGATGTTGGAATGTGGATGGTGAAAGAGCAACTGATGTGTTAGAACCAAGGCATTCTCCCTGCACCTAGCTCCTAGAATATGCACCTGAACCGATACCCCCCCCCGAGGCTCAGAGAAACTCCGCAACCCCTTAGGCCACTTCAACCGCCAACGGTCATCCAAATAATCGTATCCGGATCCGTTTTCCAACACACCTTCCTCGAAGCCCTCAGCTTTGATTGTCATGCGGCTGGTTCATCATCCTCATCATACCACACAGCTTGTCAAGACGAACCTTATTGAGTGGCTTGGTGAACGCGTCGGCGGGGTTGTCTTCCCCTTTACCTTCACGAATTTAATCAGACCACGCAGCTCCTGGTCACGCACAAAGTGCCAAAGCAGCTCGATGTGACGCGTGCGCCGCGAATAAGTCCGGCTGGTAGTCATCACGTGTGCCGCACTATTGTCGATATCAATGGCCGCTCGCACATGCATAGACGGGAATATCTCAGACAGGATATTGAACTGGGCTTTCGCTTCCATTGCAGCTTCAAATGATACTCAGCCTCAGCCGTGGATTGAGCCACAATCTACTGACAATTGGACATCCATGTCACCGCTCCACTCGCCAGAATAAAGACAAACCCGCTCGTGCTCTTCCTGGTCTCGGGGTCATTTCCCCAGTCACTATCACAGAATCTGCTTAGAGTCTGGTCCGTACGGGCCCCAGACCTCTTCTTGTACATTATACCACGCGCCTGAGTGCCCACAAGGTATCGTAAGACGCGCTTGAGCGTTACTACATGCTTCACAGTCGGATTTACAGCGAATCTACACAACTGGCCGAATGCAAATGTCAGATCCGGCCTGGTTCCGGTCGCAAGATACATGAGTATGCCCAGTACTCTCCGGTTGTTAAAGCTGGAGTCGGAGCTGTTGTCCTCTGTAGCTGGTGCGAGTCTCGTGGTGGACTCTATGGGGTTCCTACACTTGTTCGCTCCGCCAAAGCCGAACTTGAACAACACGTCCTTTGCATATTTCTCTTGACTGATGAGCACGCCCTCCTCGGTTTAAGTCACTTCGATGCCCAGAAACTCAGTCGAACTCCCGTGGTCCTTCAGGCCATACGCCTTGTCGAGCTCAGAAACAACCCGATATTGCACTCCTCATCATTCGTGGCACGAACCACGTCGCCCACGTAGATCAATAGCAGCATAATCTTCTCTCCGTCGATCAAGTAGTAGAGACAGGATTTCGTAGCACACCGTTCGAATCCGCGGTTCGAAAGACACCCATTGATCTCCGAGTTCCATTCACAGCCGGATTGGCGCAAGCCATACAGCGCCTTCCGCACCACGTTGACATACGACGGGTCCTCACACGGATACCCCTCTATCTTATCGACATACTGAGCGATCTCGAGCGTTGCATCTAGATACGCAGTGTTAATGTCCCCACCGTAAATTACAAGATCAAACTCTGCTGATATGGCTGCCGTGATCCGGAACGAAGACATTCTCGCGACAGACGACGAAGTTTCCATATAATCGATTCCTGACCTCCGGTAGATTCCGAGCGCCACGACTCTCGCTTTGATTCTCACAACAAAGCCTTGCGTATCCGTTTTGATCGCGTAGACCCACTTGGTCTTCACGGTTTTGGCATCCTTTGGCATCTCGGTCCTCTTGACCTGTCCCAAGACCTCCTTGGTTTTGAGCGCGGCCGTTTCCTCCAGCTCAGCCATTCACCGGAAATCTGTATACATAGACCTCATAGCTTGGCGTCGATTCTTTAGGACTGATGTTCTTGGAATCAATCGGTCTGCCATCACAACCCAATATTTTCTACGCAACATTGGCCCATCTGACGAAGTCATCGGATCGAGCTGGTCGGCGCGTCCACTGACATAAGTCTGTGCGACGTTCTTTCATTCGTTCTCCAAGCTGGTTCTTCTCAGCTTCTGACGGGGTGTCGTCCCGTTTTACTCGCTTTTGCAGGCCTTCTGGTAGTACGATCTTCTCAAGCACGGATCGTTCCGTGGTGGTTGGTTTTGACACAGCACCGGCACTCTCACCGTCGGGGAAGTCCTTACTCCGGCTGTTTTACATATGATCCTTGGCCTCCGGGCCCTGCTCGTGAGTCGATTTCTGCTCGTCGGTCGGATCGCTTACGTCCTCACCCAACTCGGTCACATCGGCGACCGAACCCTCATCGGCTGGGTCCACCTCCGATCCAAAGTTAGCCGAGACAGACTCATCATCATCATGACCATCATCCGCCTGGTCACTCATATCCTGGCGACTCTCACCGACGTCCTGGCTGTCGTGATCTTTGTTCTCGTCCTCCTCATCGACGTCTGCCGACCGATTCTTTTCGTCCATAGAGGCTTCGTACA